TATCGTGTTGATGGTATTCTTGTGTAAAAATGGCTGCTTAGGCAGACCGCAAGGTCACGTCTGGATCGATACATCAGCCCCACCGGCGCGACTTGGTTGTCAGTCTCCCATCACACGATTGCCTCGCCTAGCCTCTATGCACCTGGCGTACAGGCATTTCAATGTGTATCCTGACTCTGGCACATTCGTCGCGGTCGCATCGACGAGACTTGCATTCCGTGATATGGCAGAGATTACGGACATGGTATGTTTGCTCCAACTTTACGAAGGGACCTCTACACCTTGCTCCACAGATAATGTGCGCTGCAGCTGATCGGTGCGACGATCGAGAATTCATCCTTCAGGCTGAACGGTGCCCTGATCAGCCGCTGTCGGTGAGTTCTCCGCTTTCCCTACCGTCAGTGCCCATTCATCACCGTGCCTTGAAGCGTCTTCGTGTTGGAACGCCTAACAGACGAAGACATCACCAAGATCATCGTACCGGCAGTCGATCGTGTCTCGTCGCACCCGCCACCACCAACACATGCGAAACAGGCCGCCGAAGATGAGCCGGACCACAATCACCACCACCACTCCTCTGAAACAACAAGCTCACAGACCGAATCAGAGGAGGTCATCCTCCCACCTTCCTCACCACTAACCCCCATCTCCACAGCCGACCCCACCTCCTCCAACACCCCATCGCCCCCCCAATTCCCCGCCTACCCCCACCTCATGCCCAAGCTTCTCTCCTCCCTCGTCTCTCTCTCCACCGACGCTGCGCACACCGCGTTCTCCCTCCTCGAGCTCGTCCTCTTCGCGCCTCCCTCCACCGACCCAGACGCACTCCTCTCCGCGCTTCGCCGCCCCATGTCCACGTCATACGACTGCATGGGCGAGAGCCACATTGACATGATCTCCGCGATGCACAAGAGCGTGCGCGGCAGCTGGCCGAGCACCATGTTCTACTGGCTCGCGCGCATGCTCACTGCGGGCGAGGACCCGCTGTACATCGTGCGCCGCATGGTCGTGTGCGCGAGCGAGGATATCGGGCTTGCTGATAACCATGCCCTGCCCATAGTACGTGCACGACCATCTTCCTTCCTCCCAGCTTCATGAACGAATTGTCGTCTGTTGTTTGCTAGGCAATGGCTGCCTTCCAGGCATGTCAAATGATCGGGATGCCCGAATGCCGCATAAACCTGGCGCACCTCATCTCGTACCTCTCCGAGGCACCAAAGTCTACCTGTGCGTACGAGGGGTATAATCGTGCAGAAGCGGCCGCCAAGTCAGATCCGATGGCTCCCGTTCCCCTGACTATGCGCAACGCGCTGACAAAGCTAATGAAAGAGCTCCGGTATGCACGTGGCTACTGCTACAATTCAGACTACACGTAAGTCATCCTAGGATGTGTGTTCCTACTGTAATCGACATTGATTGATTTGCGCGGCAGACACCCGGTCACGAGTGACTATCTG